AAATATGAAAACCTGGTGACAGAAGCAAAGAAAAGATAGAAGGGGAGGTTTGTGACAGCCAACCATCCTGAGGAAGATGGCACATGATGATGATGACGGGGATAAAAAAAGAAGTGTTGTTGACAAGCAACAAAGATTGCAGGTAAATAATTTAGCAACATTTGGATGTGTTGTTTAAATATGTCTATATTTCATAAGTCTAAGATACATGTATTTCATATAGTCTTTACACACACAGTTCTTGTTCATGTGGTACATGATTCCAGTAACTTTTTTACTCATTTACTCACAGTTATTGTTTTTTAAATTTCTGATCAAAACACTGTTTTTGTGTGTTGCTGATGTTCATGTTTATGGTAAATACTGTTGAATGCTGTGTATTTGGTGTTTGTAGGCTATTCCTTTAAAAGTATTTTATGAATTATTTAAGTAATAGGTGTGACATTGTAATTCTGTTGGAATATGCATACAACCACATTACAATACATTTATGATCACTATTTTGTAGATCTTAGATAATGTTATTGGGCAAGGTGAGCCATCACATTCTGATAACAGTGAGTGTGAAATTATGGAGGTTTAGAGCATTCGTATTAAAGTCATTTAAAATGAAAGAGCCTTTTTTGACAGTTGAGATTCCGACTGTTGTCCCAGTGAGTATCATACACACGGTGTTGTATTACTGTGCAGTCATTTCATATATCATACTCTGACAGAAAATAGTATTTATCATGAAATATGCTCTTACATTGTAGACACCAATAAATATTTAAGATATTAAATATCAAGCCTTACATAGTATTTTGTATTAAATATACATCTTTTATATGAGAAATCAATGGCATATAAATATTTCATATTATAATATTTTAGTAATTATTTTTCGGAATATAAGATCCACAGGTGTATAAGACAGACCCTTATTTTGAAGACAAAGTTTTTGGGAAAAAAAGGTTACAGTCGCATTTGAAAGATTTTTTATTGAACAAAAATTCAATTTGATACTTTGAAAATTAGTATATATATTGTTCTAAACACAAAAGAGCTCAAAAACATACAAAAATAAGAAAAATACAAGTAAAATACAAAAAAAGGTTTACT